GTTCCCGGGCGCCAATTTGGGCTTGCGCCTCAATATCTGACTAAGAACTCTATCTCGCCCACCGCAGTGTCACCTGAACCCTGATGCCGCCTGACGAGTCGGAGTCGCCTGCATTCTTGAATTTCAATGCGTCCCGCTCGCTAATGCTAGCAGGCGAAGTCTTGGGAGCTCACGTTCAGCTCTCGACACGAAATTTTGTGCGCCTCATGGCTGTTCATGTTCCAAATGATGTTCGGCGTGCACGAGTTTGTCGCGGCTGGGTATTCAAGAACACTACCTTGTTGGGTGGCTAGGGGCAGCTGTGACAATCTCGGCTCCTCTTTCCAGATGCTACTACAAGTCGCTTACGCCATTAATGAACTGCATTCGACACGGGATTGGACGCTTCTACAGTGTCTCTCCTAATGCGAACCAAACAACGTTCACGAATAGAAGCTCATCGTCTTCCTTCGAAGCGTGTAGTCTTCCCTGGCATGCTGGCTTCCATGCGACCTAGCCTCCGTTATTCGCAGCGCTTTCTCCCTTGATTGCACACGTCTTGCCAGATCTGGTGGACTACGCAGCATGCCCTAGCAGCGCTCTCTACACAATTTGCTTTTTCTTTCCAATCATTGGGTCATTAGTATACACAAATCGACCGATGCAGTGGCACGCGTACCGTGATCTACCACTCACCGCTGGGACGACCCCAGCAAGACTAGATTTCTTCACAACCGACGTCTACATTCTCGCAGAGTCCGTCCCTCAACGTCCTTCACGATGCATCTCCAAACCCATTCACCGCCCTACACCGCCCTTTCCGCCATGCCTTCCGCGATACGATCTACGAGGCGCGAGCGCCCGGGAGCTAAAGTCGCTCGCTAGCCTACAAATTCCCAGCAGGGATTCCCCAAAATGCCAACCTGCATTTGTACCAAGAAAGAAACACCATACCTGTGGGTCTACAACAACTCGGACGCTTTTGTTCCAGGTTTCTTGAAACACATATCGGTCCACCGTCGGTCCACCTCGGACTTTTTATGACGTGCGCCTACAGTTACGGGCTCGAGTTTCGGCGAGGCGACGAAAAGTTCGAACGAGATGATCATTGGCCGCCTGCCTCGTTTCGATTCCGTCTCCGTTCGTACATACGAGGCGCTCACCGCTGGTGTTCCTGCACCAAAGCCCGACACACCGTGCCGATAGCGACTTACATAGTGTTGAATGCCGGCATTTGTACCAGCGCTGACAGATTTCCAGTCGCCTTGACTGGATGCCGACGCCGGTGCCAGGGATCCTGTCTGTGGGGTGCATGGTTGAGATGAGCCCCGCCGTCTCTTCGAATTCTGCAACACCACGGACTCTGATCCGACTAATCGCCCCTCTCGATCCAAAATCTAGTTGAGATGCGCGCGCGTACTGCCTGCCCCTATCCTCGCGCCCAATGCATGTCCTAGGTACAACGAGGCTCTCACCGACTACGTCACTTCCTTTACCGTCTATGTTTGGGTATACTCTTCTCCGCGGGTCAATGCGATAGTAAGCGCTTCTGAGAAAGACTTCATCAAAATTACCCCGCTCCTCCCACACGGAAAAAAATTATGGTGGACGCGTGTTCCGCGTGACACCATCGACATGGTGCGGGAATGCCGAGCCTGCAAGTAGTCAATCAGCTGCAATGGCAGAACAAACGTGAGGGCTGCAACAACCAGAGGAGAGAAGGAAAAACAAAAGAAGGATAAGCTTCGTCCTAAACGCTTCGTCGCAACATGTCGGAATCAGCACTTGCGTATGCCCATGTCCGTTACCCCAGCTACGTCACCTGGCACACGCGTTGCACTCACGATCGTCGCGTTAAAACTCTTGTCTCTTTATTCTTTGCTCTTCGTACCCAATCACAAAAGTGCACGCAGACCCCCTCGTTCAAGAAACGCCGTTCCAAACGCCGCGATCAATGGGTATAGTACATGCCAGATGCTAAGATCCGATGCCAATCTCATATCCAAGCATCACCTCTGTTGATGCTCCCTCCCATCCCCGATTTCCGCCCGTTGAGATCATGAAGTTGCACGTCGGGTCGAGGTATAGCTGCGATATGACGCCGGTGCGGTGTCCGGGGACAATAAAGAAGGGTGTAGCGGCCGCGCCGGCTTTCGGTCCCGCGTCGTTGTGGGCAAGGTCGTAGAGGCGGAGGATGTCGTATGATGCGCTGGTACATGTTAGTGCTTGTCTCACGTCACGTCACGTATGTATGTATGTGTGCGCGTGTGAGGGGAGGTGAACTTACCAAATGAGATGTCGCCCATTGGGCATAGCCCGAACTGCACTCACTGCACCACTGACGCTGGGGAATCGGAACGTGCGTCGCGGCTCTCGTAGGCTCTTGTGTAGACTGTATTCGTCCACTGTGCCGTTTCGCCGACCAGCGTAGATGAAGTTGCCGTCTGGTGACCAGCATGCGTTCATGCACCACGGTGGTGTGTTTCGCGGGGGTGTGATGCGTGCGACGGGGTTCGGTTGCCGGCGGTCCCAGATACGCAATGTGCCGTCCATTGACGCGTCCATAAAGGTCGTTTCAGATGAAGCAGGCTGCTCGGTTTGGTTTGCGGAAGTAGTCGTAGACTGTTCGAGATCCTCTGCATAGGGCAGGCCGTTGGAAGTGCCATTGAGCTGCGCATCTGTACTTCCATTCGCTGCTGGTTGGTTCTCAGCATCTACTGGGGGTTCCTTCGCTTGTTCCGCAGCTGGCTCCTCGGGTGCTTGTACAGGACCGCCCATGTCCATCATGTCCATGTCAGCATTGGCGTCGTCGTCCGCTTGTTGTATGCCGTTCGCGATGGCTCTGGAGAATTCGTCCTCGTCGTCGTCACCACCGAACGAAGGAAGAGTGGCCGAGAGGTTGTTTTCCTGGCCGTCGCCAAACAAAGAGTCCTGGTCCTTGTCTCCAAACAGCGAGTCGTCTGGAGATCCCTGGGCATCCTCAGTGCCTTCTTCCTTGGGTATCACGGGCTTTATATCGGCGCCGTTCGCGAGGGCGCCGTTGGTTCGAGGTCGGGCGGAGTTGTTGGAAGAGAAGGTGCCGTTCGAGGTAGGAAGGGTTTCGGTATCCTGAGGTATAGGCAAGGTAGACATGGGACGTTGCTCGATTGCGGATATCTGTCCTCCACTCGTCTCGAACTTCCTCTTAACGCTGCCAGTGTTCAAGTCCCAGTCATTGATAGTCTTGTCCCAACTACCACTCAATACCGACGTCTCGTCCTGCGACAGTGTCAAGACCGACACGGCTGAGGTATGGTTCTTGAGTGTGTGTATTCGCGTTCCTTCCTGATGGCGCACCGACTGCAGGTTTATGCCTCCCGAGTCCAGACCCGACAACAGCCATAGCGCTTGGTGGTGTACTGCGAGCGAGTACACAGGGGACAAGCTCTCGGCTGCGGCACTGTCCTCATTCTCCCAGTATGAGAGAAGCACGCCCGCCTTGGTGACCGAGTCAACGAAAGGGTGTCGCTGGGCCACGGTTAGGGCGAGCTTCCCGTTGGCCGTGTCCACCCAATTGAACTTTCGTATATAGCCGTCTGCACCCCCGCTGAAGACCCATCGCATGTCCGGTGTGGCGGTGATGGCATTGATGGAGGTGCTGTGCGGTGCGGCGATGGTGGGTATGATGTCGTATATAGGCGCATTCAAGGCCTCCTGTCGCACGCTGGGGTGGAAGGGCAGGTTTCCAAGCACGCCCGAAGCCGCCGCTCGAGGGCTGGGTGATGTGAGGGTGACAGATGGATTGCCGTCTGCTTGTCCAGCTGTACCGCCATTGGATATGCTGTTGCGCGGTCGCTGCGAAGGGCTGTCGGGCTCGTCCTGGTCCTGATCTTGATCCTGGTCTTCATCGTCGTTGTCGTTGTCTCCGTCTGCATCGTCGTCGTCATTATCGCCGTCATCTGCATCGTCGCCCTCTTCCTCCTCATCTACATCCATGGCATCATTCTCCTCCTGCTCATCTTCCTCCTCGGCGGAGCCTGTTGCGCGCGGTTAGTTGGCAGCTCCTCCGCGCGTCGTGGGGATATTTACTGGCGCCATTCTCGTAGTCGTCCTCCTCATTCATTCTGTCTCCATGAGCATGAGCTAATTAGCACGTGCTCAGCGGATGCACTGCTACGTCGCGTCGAGTGGATGCGCCGATGTTCGCGTTGGGGAACATGGGTGACGCTCGGCCTCGCGTCATTCTCCCGAACGGCACCATTCCCGTTTGGGACTAGCAGTCCTGGAGCCAGCTGGTCCAAATGGCCTCCAACTCCCCGACCAGCACCTGTGCAACGTACAACCCCGACCCATTTTTATTGGCTGATATTGTACAGGTTTGTCTCCTTCTCTGGATGCTGACGGTTCGCCATAGCCGGGCGTGGGACGATGTAGTCGCCACACGCAGCAGCGATGCCCACGATAAACGTTCGCCAACACGTCCGTCCTTGTTCAAGGCGACCTTTTCCGAGATTTTACAATCCAGGACCCTCGCAAAGTCTTCGCGAGATACACAGAACGTGCAAAAACAGACCTGTAAACTTCGACAGTTGTCTACTTCGTTTCCCTTTGATGTCTTTCTTATCCAGCCTGATTGAGAGACCTCATCATCCTTACTATGGCTCCGGTCCTGTCTCCTGGAATGCTTATGCCTGGAACGAGTATTGATCTTGGCGTAAGAGTCCGCAGCCACCAGGCTGGCATCGGTATTCAGCCTTGTCACCCCTACCCAAGTATTTGCCTCCTTAATGATTTGGCCCCCACACCTGTCGCGCTGGCTCACTCTGCGATATCTTGATAGGTTTCCCAAATGAGGCTTTGTCATCTGATGGCCACCGGTCTCATCCTCAGCCTTCTTAAGCATGGCAGGTCCCCGCGCCCCGCTGTTGTTCTGATATCCCGTTCTTCTGGCCTCTCTTCTATTCGAAACCTCTTTCTTCTGGCCTCTCGTTCTTCGATCGCTTCGATTTGCTACTCATCATTCTGACATCCTGCGGAGTGTGATGGAGGATACTGCGCTCTTGATCGATCAGCGATCGTTGGTCTCCACCAAAGAGAGTGATGTTCACGATCGCGGTCTGGGACCTACGCATCCCATCGAAGGAGCCAAAATTGCGCTGAAGCGTGACTTTCCATGGCTTGAGCTCATGTTTCACGCTGCAGCACTCGCCATTGCTGGTGTCCTTCTGTGGATACACATCATCGGACTCTTTTGGAGGGATTTCAAGATCAAGAACCAGAAGCGGCAGAACATGGAACTTAAGGCATTTCAGGTCGCGTCCAAGGCTCACGAGTTGCTGATGCTCGCATCACTATCCATAATTGTCTTTCACTACATGCGAAGACTGCTGGTCGGGCGAAATGGTATTCCCTTCGGACTCGTCAATGCACTTCATGTCACAGGCTCGCCCAGCATGCTGTTCAAGTGGTCATTCTGGGCGGGGTGGAGGCGTCACCTCCCATTCGGAGGCTTGTTGTTTCTCACCTGTATCTTTTCGCTGACTTTAGGGCCGTCGTCAGCGATCACAATGATTCCTTCGCTTGAGTGGTACGAGATGAAGAACGCTTTTCCAGCCAACGGCTCAACCGTCCTCTACAACGCAACTGCAGCCGAAATCTGGCCGACGGTCTTCAATAACTCAATGGACACAAATGAAACTGCTCGTTGCCTCCAAGATCCATTCAAGTCACCATTAAACCTACACTGCCCGTCGGCAGGGTTCATCGATATCTATAAATGGGTATTTATCTCCAGGTTTTCGGACATAACATGTATTCAATGCTAAAACTATTCAGTTTATCAGTTTCACGAAGACTGGATCACGCGATGACTTGCTGTTCACAGACCTACGTGCGAGCAGCGTTCAACGGAGGGTCTCCATCAAGACTGGCAATGACCCAAAGGGCGGCTGGGCCTACACCACCGTCGTCACAGAGCTGAGCTCGAGAACACTCGGTACATTTTATAACTATGCAAGACACAATAATGCCGGCGGTACTAGAGACATGGCATATCCTCGATTGCGCATCACAGCGGACACTCCAATACACCAGCCCATCGTCTATGTGAAGTGTAGCCTCTCTATGTGGGACCAAGTCCCGGATCGACTACGTGTCCCATTTCCGAACATCGTTAGGTCACAGGCATGGGGGCAGGAAGCATTGCATCCCGAAGCTGAGACACAATACGCCAAGTCCAACGATACCATCTTTGATCGGCTACCGAGTAAGAACGCGAGGTTCAAATGGTACAAAAACGATAACGGGGATTTGTCATCATCGCTACTTGCGTTGGCAATCATCCCTGTCTCAGCCAAAAACTCCACAAAAGACAGATACCCATCCACTGCCACTGTGGCATGCTCAACTGATGCAAGGTGGGTCTCTAGCGATGCATATTACCAGCCCAAGAACTCGACCACTGTCTCGAGCAACGTTTCTGATGCACTCTCCGAGACCGAATGGAAACCCGAAAAAGCACTCCTCACCAAGTTGGGCATATCAGAAAACCCGCTCGACTTGCGGCGCGACTGGGCGTATTTTCTGAACCGACAGCAAAGCGAGTGGCTAGCCGACAACTCTTCCTCCAGTGTCAGTGGCATGGCCCGGTTCCTCAATACTGCCATCATCCGCCCTAAACAAGAAGAGAACCGGATAACGGCATTCTATGCGCCTAATATGACGACCCCAGACACGGGCGGCGCATTCGAAGAGGCAATAGCGATGCTGGTGGGAACCGTGCTTGTGGACGGCATAGCGCGAAGCACGTCTAGATTATCCTCTCTCGTCAAAACTAATGCCACTGCTGACGTGGTAACAAGACTTGAAACCTTCCTTCCCTCAGGTGAAAGGCTTTTCAAGTGGAATCCAGACAGCTACGTTCCCGGTTTCTACTCCGTTCGCATCGCACTAGATTCCTACGGATACGGATACGGACTCCAGAACACAGCCGTCTGGGCAGCCATGATTGTCCTGCTGCTCTTTGCGCTGATGTTGATTGTGCATGTAGCATTTGTAGGCTATTCTGTCGCTAGGGGACGGTACTATGGTGGCGAGTGCTGGGAGGATGTAGGGGAGCTCATCGCGTTGGCAATGAATTCGGCGCCGAGCGAGAAGCTGTACGGCACGAGTGCGGGTGTGGAGCGCGCCGATACATGGAGGAGTTTGGTCAAGATCCAGGAGACAGGCGACCAACATCTGGAATTGTGTGTCGTGGATGGACAGCAGGAGCATGGGGGGAGGGTCGTGATCGGGAAAGCGTACCTGTAGCTCATACCTTTTATTGGCTTTTGATACAGACTGAAGCGACTACTTGCCTGAAAGCTGGGCATAATTGCGACTCATGGTGGCAGATTTCGATCTTCTTAGAGCTGGTTAGGTTCCAAGGACTTTCGGCTATCATCTAAGATACAATTCGAAGTAGTGTTCGAATATTTAAGGCGGGCCCCTTTGTGTTACCTGGATGCGATTTAATTTTAACAATTAAAATTTGACTTACAATCCCTTATTTTAGCTGTACTGTAACTTCAATGGTTGCTGCGATGATTGCTGCGATTCTGGGCTGGTGTGAGCTCGACGCGTTGTTGGGATGATAGAATGGGCGAGGAAGCAAGCCACCCCACATAACCCCACTTACGTCAATTACGTAATGCAAAAGCTCGGACCAGAAACACGGGAACTCCAGCTGAAGACACCCGTCTCGCGGCGTCAAGATTACATTTGAGTCGGACCTCCATCAAAAGAGCATTGCAATGACGAGCTCGCAGGAAGGACCGGTAAATTGCCGTTCCTCAGCTACCCATGCGGCATGGCCAGAGGTTTCGAAGTAAGTCGCTAATGAACACTCGATAAACTCCACCAGTGCTCATCGCGTTCAGGCTATACAAGCAGATAGAAGCGAAGGAAAATGAATGTGAACAAATCGATTCGGGTGAAAAGGATGTCGAGTATCCAGACGACGTAATAGATGAGATAAGGGCTGAGATCAGGCGGCTCGACAAGTAAGCATCATAGCTTCAAGAAGCGGTAGTCACTGACTAAAGACAGAGAGATAGATTCTCGAATCATGAAACATGAAGCTGATGGATTCAGAAAACTCGCAAAGAATTTGCTGAATGCTCTAGGTGGCGTTGCCGAGTTGCGCCTCTCAATCTACGAGTTTCTATGCGTAGAGAAAGACGGTGTTCACATACCAGATTTCACCCACGACTTCTTTCATGAACACGATACAGCAGACGTGGTGAATCTGGTCGCTATAGAGGAGACATCCTGGCCTGATATACCAGATCAAGACGAGAAGAAAGCGATCGTAAATCGTCGGCTGGCAGCTATCAGAGAACGTTACATATTTGATCCCAGGCTATTTGGTTCTCAGATGGCTCAGGAAGTCACAGAGGCCTTCCTCGAGATGAACGTACTCCACTTCCGCGATGCACGATTTATGAACGGATTTATGAACACACCTTTCCCGTGCGGGTCTGTTCCCAGAGATCACGTCCGGAATATCGTGATCTATATACGATTTGAAGACTTCCTCGAGAGAGCTGGTTGGGATGTCCGTTCGTGCCCCGATACGCCCCATGAACCAGGCCCGGACTTCAAATGGAGGGAACACGGTGTATACAGCAACTTTCGTCGCGACATCGCTTTCATCCAGCGTCTTGTATTTGCCAGACCTCCGGAAGTTACATTGCTCATGGTTACACCATTTGGCCGATGGGATGCGAAAGAACTTGACAAGGATCGCATCAACCTCAATTTCCTAGAGGTCATACTGCCAACCTACACTCATCTGAAGAAGAATGGGTCAACCACGAAAGTCATTTCTAAGGAGCTTGATTACTTGACTGACAAGGGCCGGTACCCCCCTGGGGGAGCGGGCTGGATCCGTCACGAGGATGAAGACGTCACTTGGCAAGTCGAGATCGCCGCCGAAGCATATGCTCAGGTAAATACAGTTCGTTGTAGCTGGTCAATATTTTACTCACGTCAAAGTAGTCTACTATTGACAATTACGTCTATCCTGGTGGTCGAAAGAGCTCGGAGCGCATCCAGTTAGAGAAGGCTATCAAGGAAGCTGCTGCACAACGCGCAGCCTAGCGGTAGCCTTAGAATATGAGGTACAGCCGGGGAAGAGGGTCTTGAGACAGTGGCGATGAAAGTGGCGACAACAATGAAAGCGATGGAAGCCTGGGCGTTCGCAGATAGGTGAATTGACTCACGCCACAAGGTTGCGCATCTGCGTGGCCATTGCTCAGTCATATAAATTTGCGGGCTCATTGCCCATTCCCCAATACCTCTCATCCATTGCACTCCCTCAAATTGATCCAAATTTCAACCCGACCAAGATGCAGCACCACGAAACCGAAGCAAAGCTTACTTCACCTTCGGACGCGGATATGTCTCCTTCGACGAACATGGCAGCATTGTCCTGTTTACCAGAGGAGCTGCTCGATGATATCACGGGATATATGAAACAACGCGACCTCGCTCATATTTGCCTCGCGACGCACCAGCTGCGACGTATCGCGAACGAAAAGCTCTACACCAACCTTACCCTCAACGAGCGTTACTCCGGAAGCTACCACTGCGCGGTCGAACAAGTCTTCTCCTTTGCGCTCGCGCTCCTTCACCGGCCTGAACTAGCATCTAGCGTTCGCAAGCTCTCGATGAGTCTTATAAGAGGGCAGCCAACCTCGCCTCCCAAATGGTCATCTGACGACATCGCTAAAGCACTACGAGTGATCGACGACATGGGTACCAAAGGCACTGGTTGGGCCATCCGTGTGCCAGACTGGAAAGCGCGTTTACTTTCTGGCGACGGCAAAGCTTGTGGTGGTCTCATTCTCGCTTTACTTCCAAATCTGGTCGAGTTGGAGATAGAGATCCTTGCCACTATGCCTGACTTTCGTGTAGCGGACGACGATGTTGAGTATAACGAACGCATTGTATGGTCCCATCAGCGTTACGCAGAGGATCCTCTCGACAAACTCTTTGGAAAGCCTGGGTACTATCTCTTGGAATTTCTAAAACCCAAACGCACCGATCCGATCATGTCCTCTCGGATGAAAGGATTCCTCAACGCAAGAATCAGGAACCTTGTCAACAGACCAGCTTTGGATTTATCCCAGATCTGTGGCCTCAAGAAACTCGAAACTTTGCGGTTCTTCGGCAGCCGTCTTGACAAGCAATGGTGTACTCTGCCGAAGCTGCAGTGCTTAGAGGTCGCGCGAGAATGCAGGGTCCCCGCTTCATTCGTCGCTCCTGCTGTTGATACCCTTCAACTTGAGCTTGCTAGCTGTGTCGCAAAGGAAGTTGATCACAACGGGGCGCTCCATGCCGGGTTTCTTTCGGCCACATCGTTCCCACGGTTGGAACATCTCTCCATCCAGCTCACCAACTTCCACTCGTCTGGCGGCTTCTCTATTGTCAAACCTATCCTTAAAGACTCCAAGCGTGCAAAGAGTAATAGGATGGTTTATTGCCTTTCTCGGGTTGCGCCTAGCCTCAAAACCCTCTCAGTGAGCGCGTACGATAGCTTCGACCAAGAGTTCTTGAAGTGGATGGGGCCGGTCCCCACCTTTACTTCCTTCAAGCAGCTGGAAACCCTTACTATACCACAAGATCTTCTTCTTGGCGATGGTTTTCCGAATCCTTGCAAGCTTCTTCCTGCTAGTATACAGGTGATTGAGCTTCTTCACCCAAGCGTCAAGGCCTTTGCTTGGCTCGACGCGCTCAACAAAGCTCACCACTTCTTCCAGGACCTGAAAGCTGTGTATTTGATCTTTGAAAACGCCCAAGATGACCAGTGCGTCGCGATGTACGAAAAATACAGCGATTGGATCGCGGGTCGCAAGATGCACTACGAAGTGATCCTGCAATGTCCTCCTGCCGAGCGCGCGATATGCGACACAGTACCGGAAGAGGAAAACCCACGAGCCTATCGAATATGGGCACGCGCTGATGAGCGGGTAGTACCATCTTTCGACGATGAAGAAGCCTTTCCAACACTTGTGCCATTGACCAATGACTCAGAGGCGACCCATAGACGGCAAGCTAGCCACACTTTCCGCATCTCATACGCCTCATGCGCAAAGGAATGGTATCAAAAGATACAGGTCGCGACTCCGAGGACCTCCAAACAAGTAGATAATGACTTGACCGTTTGAGGACTTCACCAATAGTGCGCGTTCTTGCAGCGGCGATGTTACTATCATCAGTGGGCACTGCTAGGCGGAGGACAAGCAAAAGATTTATTACAAGATGCCAAACAAACAATGCGGCAAATGAAGCATACTAGAAAATGAATGCCAGTGTCATTCACCAAGTGCTTGTGATAGCTTCATATGTAACCTCTCAAACTGTTCGGCCCAAGTGACCCTCTTCTGCAACATCGTCACCCAGCTTAAGAGCTTGTGGTTGTTCTCGGGAGATAATGGGTGCCCGAATCTGTTCATGCTGATCTAGGTATGACGCATCGTCCCTCAGGAGCAGAATCGCATCTGGCTGAACCTTCCATGCTTCCTTTGAGTTGAGAATGAAGTCGATGGTAACGGTCGTACAACGATCGCCGGTGCCTGCTTTCAGGTAGTGCCAGGCCTGTGGGCTAGGTGCCTCGCGGTTCGGAGTCTCGAGGCAGAACCTAATCTAAGGCACGCTAAACATCAGTGCGCTATTCATCGATACCACTATCCTCTTGCGAGCGACTCACCCCACGGGTGTTGCTCGGTGGGAGCTGTTGTCTGTACATGACCCACTCCGCCATCCCGATACCCAGTCCATAGTGGCTGAAGGCAAGGTCGACAGTGAGATATAGGCCAAACGCGCCGAGTATAATGACCGAGAAGGCACACCAAAGACAGCAGAAGGCGGCTGCTCCTCGCCAAGCTGATCTGCTTTCGTCGAATGAGTATGATCCAGACGAGCTTCTAGGTCCATCCACTTCGCCCCAGAAGCCTAGTCTTGACTCTTCGTCGTCGTCGTCATCGGTGGGCGGACGTAGCAGTTGATGCGCGTTAGTACCACGGCTGTTCTCACTGGATAAGATACCGGTATCTGTCGCTTTATGAACAGCTGCAGGGCCACGGAAGTATGCGAACAACGAGGCATGCGGCAAGGCGACATCGGCGTCTGTGTTCGAGGTCGACAATGTGGTCACGTTCCACATGGTGAATGCGATGCAAGAGATGCGTATATATTATGCGTGATTCCAAAAAAGAGACCAAAATCGATGGATGCAGCGGTGCCAATGGCAATTTTTCGGGTTTTCGCGCGGGTGGATGACGGGAAGAATTACAAGAGAAAGACGACAAGAATGCCATAGATTTGCTAGCTTCGCACAGCCACTGCATCCGGCAAGAAGGTGCACTCGGTGATCTCCATAGGGTTTTATAAGGTATCGGCAGGAGCGATTTCCGCGAGTAGTAGGAGGTTCGGGTATCGCACGTGCTCGAACGACGAAGAGGAAGCCGCGAACGAACGTCACTAAATGAAGTCGGCAAACTAAAGGAAGAGGCTGTATGCCACATAGTAAGACAGGATGAACAGGATTGAATTAGTATCATAGCAGGATTACCCATTACGCTGGAGATCCGAAAGGACGAGTTGGTTGACTTGATCCAGCGTTACCAGTACCACTGGGTGTTAACGAGAAGCCTGCGAATCCACCCGAAGCACGTGGGGGGAGGCTTCCGAACGAGCTTCCGGTGGCTGGAGTACTAGAGGTAGTGGCCGCCGATGTACGAGCATAAGAGGCAAACCCAGTGGTCGTCACAGGAGCGTTGGAAGAAGCGGAAGTCGCGTTGGTACCGGAGGTGGGCGGACCAGCGGTAATAACCAGATGAGAAGCCGTGTGAGCGGCACCTGCAGACGAGGCGAACTTCTGAGGGCTTGTGGATTCCATCTTCCTGGGCCAGGATTTGAGGAGCAGAAAAGCTAACTCATCAATGGTGTCCAGCTTGGATTCCAGCCCGGGCAACTCGGTGATGTCCACCTTGAAATATGTCCGGAAGGCCTGCACTATCTCGTCTCGAAGACCGCGGTTGGTCTCTGGGGTATTGCTATACGTGAGTTGCACGGCAGCGATGAAGTCTTCCGAATCAACGTGGTGATCCAGGCTCTCGCGAAACTTGGTCTTTGCAAGTCGGCTAAGCCCCTTCACCTGATATTTATCAGCGAGCGCATACATGCTCGCGTGTATTGTAAGCGGACTGGTGATTTCGATGCTGTTGTCGGGCTTTCGGTGGCTGACGTATTGGGACGCTTTCTTCTGCTGCTCTATTTTCATTTCCGACTGCTCGATATTCTTGAGGTTCAACGCGAGGCAAGCGCATTGATCATGACGCTGAGAGCTTCCAAATGCGTATCGGCGGGGGTGGTGAGCGGGCGCCGCTGCTGTGTTGAGGTCATATTGCTTGAGTTGTTCGAACGCGGCGATGCCAATGTCGTCGGTGGGATCGTAGTCGCCCAGATACAGGTAAGCGATTAAACGTCGGATCATCTCTGGGTCGTCGTCTGGCAGATCGATGCGTCGCTCATCGGCTTCCTGTTTTGCTGTCAGCACAGGAGATCGGCTCAAAAAGGCTACTAGTTCACCTTTCCACCGAATTTGATGTTGTTCGCGAAGAACTCGCATGCTGAGCCAACGACGACCGAGTGCACATCGAATGTCGAATTGCCGCAGCTGATAACCAAGTCGGTGAAGTCGCCATTCTTGTATGCCCTAAACCATGTCAGAGCCAGACACGAGTACTGCCACAGGCGCGTTAGTGCAGCGCGGAAAATTTACCTGAGAACATGTGGCGGACAGCTGAAGGGCATTTTACACATTGGCGAGCCTGGATTCGAGGTTCTTGAGGGAGGAGCGACGCGTTGGACGCGCCCATCGTGAGATTACGCCGACGCGACGCATGGGCACGAATGTGGCTCGCCATGAGCCCCTTCTTGAGCAGATAAGCGACAGATGTGCTCTCCAGACTTTACCACATGCAGCAGTGCTGCGCAGGGAGCGAAATGCTGCATTACTAATGACGCAACGTGAAGCTATTCGGGTCCGGAGAATTAACTCATGCAGGTGTCAGCGCGAACCACGCTAGCGCTAGGGCGTCGTCGGGTCCCCAAGACCAACACCGTCTTATATCATACTCTCCCCCGCCGGTCAGATACCGAATCTTTTCTGCGTTCCCGACAGAAACTCCCAGCCTACCCAAGAGGCATTCACGACCTTTCCGCACGATGACGCCGTCGACAAAACCGGAGCCTGGACGACCCCAGCCCATTATCACAGATGCGCATGATCAACATCTCGACTCTGACAACCTCCCAGCCATCTAGTGTACTGATCTATCAGTCCTCATGTCTTCTATGTATCTATCGCCGGTCGGTCCCTTTTCTATCATCCCGACAAGGCCGGGAACGCCAGACTAGCATCTTCTAAAGACACATCTTCCAACCTCTTCATGGTTTCTACAGATGGGCTTAGAGGCGCAACTGTTCAAGCCTATCTACCAGTATCTCCCTAATTCTCTTCCTCGACACCAGGCCCCGCTCCAAAACTCCTTCAATGGGTATTTGAAGGTGCTTCATTTGGTTGAAGTGGGCCAGGCTTGTTACCGGCTCCAGGTACTTGAAGCAATGCGGATCTGTGCCGGCTTTCTTGATGCACAGCACTTCTAGTGTCTGCGATACTGCAGCCATAGTTTCGATGAGGGTTTCCATGCTTCCCCGCGCATCATTCCCAAGAATATCAGCCTCGATCTGATTTGGCCCTGGAGCTAAGCACTTGTTGCTTATGTTGATGGTGAGCGATCGCAGGCAGGGCATTCGCTGAAAGAGTTTGGGTAGATCTTTGTATCTCCGGTCTTCGTTAAAGAAAGACCTCGGTGGTCAGATTCAGCACCAGTTCTTCGACCCTGGAGACACCTGCTGATGCAGTATCCCAATCGACGCTACAGTGAAGGCCAAGGGTGACAGCCCTCAGGCAAGACAACGCCAGCCAATCCCAGCTGATATGACGAGCATGCAGATGCAGCTTCCGGAGCGCCTTCAATCTGGGTTCATGGCGATATCGAGGGGGTGTGACCCAGCCTTGACTGGAAGCCTGCACTGTACGCTACATGCATGGCCATAACGACCGCTGTCGAGCTCATGCAGGCTACCGTTGGAGATGATTTGCAGATCGAGCTCTTTCAAGTTCGGGAGAGAAGCAAGGAGGAGTGCCGCAATCTGTGTCTCGCCCATGTACACGCGTGTGTGCTGGAAGAAGCCCTGGAGTACTGGATTGCCAGCCGCGGACAATGTGGTGAATGGGATCTCGACAAGGTGGATGATGGGCCGCAGCGCGAGTTGGGCTACTGCGCGTGCTAGGTCAGGACGACTGAAGAGGGTGCGAGCCAGTCGGGCAATTTGTCGCGGCATGGCATTGTCGGTGTAAGAGATCGTGGGGTATCGATGGAGTGCCTCCTGCGCCATGGAGCCGATATGTCTGGCAGCCAAGCTGAGGTTATGAAGATCGACTTCGTGGACTTGGGCGACGACCTGGAGGAGGAGCTCGTCGGGGAGCCTCTTCAACGGAAACGAGTCAGCGACGGCCGGTTCATCTACACACAAATCTGTTAGCATCGGAGTCCCCTTTGGAGCATTCATTTCTATTGACGGTGGGTTGAGGTTATCGGTCTTGGCTGAGGTTGGTCACGCAAGCAAGGTTCTCACAAGAGATGGAGATGGTATCGTGCCTGTGAAGAGTTTGCAGCATCGGATACAAAAGTTCGCAAAGTGAAAGGGCGCGATGAGGTATGAACGATGAGTGAGATTGCACGCAAACGGCGCGACGACTCCGATACCGCAAACCACACCTCGCTGCCAACACGGCCATCGTCGCATGCCACTCTCGATACACACGTGGTCTAATACTCGAGGCTTACCGATCAAATACATCGTCACTCCACAACATTACGTCGAATGGCAGAAAAGGGCAACGATGATGGGATATGACGATACTCAATCGATGCATTCCTTACGACGCTCACCCCGACTACCTTTTCCAGCTCTTCCCATATCCCTGTGATATCCAGGCAAAGATACCATTGCTTTCATCCTCTCCTGTTCCTTGAAAGCAGCGCGCCTCCTTACTGCGCTCGTCATCATTGAAATGACCGCATGTCATGGAATTTGCCACCCCAACATTCCAGTGTCACTTCGATTTCCAGGATGGCTAGCGAGCTCCTAACGACAGTCGCCTAACGACAACGATAGTTGTAGTAACCCATCCTTCCCTGTATCACTATCATCGGCAAGCGTGTACATAAGTCAGCAGAAACAAGACACAATGAACTCACACATGCCATGAACCATTATACGGTCTCTTATCCTAGCAAAATGCGATATCTGCGTGTCATAGTTGATATGTGGAGATCTTACGCACCACAAGATCTTCCAGCTCGCAAGCATTCGTGATGTATGCGCAGAACATTCGAGAAGGAACTCAAGTCTAAAGCGTAAACAAGACACCCATGCCCAACCTCAACATCCTCGCAAAACCGACCAACTTCATGCACTGACACCCCGTCTTCTCACCACCATGATCCGGACAAACAGCTCGCACAAACACTATAAAACTCTATCGCGCGTCTGATTTCAAAGCCACATGGCACAGATCAGTAAGCAGTTTAGATCGTCCCCACCCTGTGCAGGTGCAGGCAACATGGGAGGAAGGAACGGACCGAAAACGTTTTGTAGATCTCTTGGTAATGGCTTGTATACATCGCGGGAAAGGGAAGAAAGTGGGCAACACCTCACGTGGTGGCTAATGCGCGATCTTCGGCTCTTATGTAGACCACGTTGCGGGCCGTAGTAAAGGCTATTCTTTGGCAATTCTATCATTATGATGTAAAGCACGTGCGCGGCGGTTGGCAACTCCGTGTAGATGAAAATAGTAGTATAGCAAACGCTGTTGACATGGCAAAAGTCATAAGATAAGATAAGATGACGTATCTTTCTGGTGTATGCCCCTCGGGGACATTGGCGCTTAGACATTGGGTATTGGTGCACAGTGATATAGCTGATCTTGAGCTCGGGGTTGGGTGCGTAGGGTAAATGTTATAGTGGATGTATCTATGATGATGAAACTATGAAGAGAAGAACGCAAAATCGCTCATTGGTATCGCTAAAAGTACTGCAAGGTCCCTAAGAAAGAAAACGAGAAATTGCCGATGAGCAGAGTCAATGGGCCATTGGCTCAAGCACACCGGGTGTGACGTTGAACTGCGCGGATGCGCGGCTCGATAAGCTTGGTAAGACATGCTGACCCCGCATCACGTCGACGGTTGACTGCAGCACTGTCGTGAAACACGTTGTCTTAGCCAAGACAGACGTTTTGTGTGGCGGCTGCGTACCACCCGCAGGATAATCCCGGTCTTGGACGCGCGTAGGATTCTACACAGATAGATGACGAGATTCAACATGGAGTTGAGTCGTATGCTTGCAGCGGCGATGCAGATACTGGTGCACACTGCGGGGCAGCGATGATTGGCTCGATGCGGGAACGACTGTGACGGAATTCCCTTCAGGAAGAGACAGGAAGTCCGCTCGCCATACGGAAGAGTTCGAAAGCAAGGCCTGGTGTTTCTCGCACGGCCATTTCGACATCGGGTCGCAGCGACAGGCTGGGGTTGGCACGGAAGGTCTGGATGATGACGTCTCGCAGACCACGGTCAGTGTGGTAGGTAGACTCGTACGCCTCTTGGCAGGCCTCTGGGAAGTCGGCACTGCTGAGGTGCAGGTCAACGTCCTCTGCAAATTTGCTACGCGCAAGCGCTTTCAAGCCTGCAATGCCATACCTGCCATAAACCGTTAGCAAGCTAGTTCAAAGTAGGTGTGATGAAAGATGGGCGCATGATTGGAGAGATAGTAGTAGCACGCTGACGCGGACTGTTTCGAAGATGCAGCCATGAAGGCCCAAGGACCATAGTAGGTAATTGGCGCATCTTGAAATCGTACACAAGAAAAACAGACGAAAGGGCTGTGTATGCAAAGGTACAGTGGGGTGTGCAGCGCGGGGTGCGATTGGCGAGGTAGAGTGCCGGTGACGCATATGGCGGAAGTTGTCGGCGTTTCAACCGCCGTGCCACGCGCTGTACACCCCAGTCATGGGAGGTAGAGCTGCAGGCGCAGATGAAGCAACCCCGCAAATCGCGGCGCGCATTCAGGCAAAACGTAGAAAAGTAAACAATGACGAGAGAATGGTACTACTTACTTCTCAGCGATGGCGTAGACCTTGGCATGTGTGATGAGATGTGTCGTCTCAATGTCGAACTCAGTCTCTGATTGCTCGCTTTCCAGATCATCATCCTCGAAGAACTGATCGGCCATCGGCGTGTCGGGCAGCTTGGAGGATGCATCGATGCTTTGGAACATTGGCTCGTCGGCGGGAGGAGTCAGCGGCATTGAGTTGTTGGTTGCTGCCATAAGTGCAAGGAGCGGGTCTTCGACTTGGACCAGGTTCAGCTTCTTTGGGGGGCTTCTCCTCTTGGTAATCGATGATCGTAGAGAGGTAGGTCGGTTCGATCGTTGTGAGGATCGGCGCGAGAGTGACTTCTTGGTGAGGTAGTCCATGTGGTAGAAGTCTAGAAAGATTTAGCACAGTCTAGGGTACCATCGCCTCATGCAATACGTACAGTGCACCATGTGTTCAACAGCTTCTGCGTCATCTTCGGTGAGGTCAACTACTCCGGTTTCTGCTTCCCTGAAGCCATTGCGGCAGGCTCCCTCGAAGAAGGTGGATCTTGTTGCGAGGAGTATGCGGTGTACTGGGTATCTTTTGGCACCACAAACGATGGTCAGATCTGAGTATTGTCCGCATGCAAACAGTCTAACAGACTTAGCTGGGTTGGAGGAACAGAAGGGTGTAACTTACGAGGCCAGAGCCGACTTGAGCTCGATCATTGGTGCGTCCATTGTGTGAAAGTGTTGTGTGAGAGTCAAGGTAGGAGTGTGAGGAGGTTCTTGCTGATACTCGAAAGGTTTGGCGGGCGGAGGAAGGCTTCTTGAGGCAGATGCTCGTAGGACCCTGCCGTTAAAAACAAAAGGACAACGGCCACAGGTGTGACGATTTTGACCTTACGCAAGAACGCGTAGGGGTACGTAGGGTTCGGGCGCTGATCACGGAGGCGCCGCGCGAATCCGAGAGACTGGATAGGCTGAGTCAAGGGTACCGAGATCGCCGGAAACAGGCAATTTTATGCTGTTGGCGATTCAGATGATTGTATATATGGCGAAATTGCTGATTGCTCAATGCTGGTATAGAGTGTAGTTGGGTATTGCAGATCGAGGTGAAAGCGGAGTGTAAGGCAAGAAGGGAGGGCTACTGGCGCTCTTGTAGGCATGCAGCCGTCTCCAGCCATGGCACGCTGGCGTCAGTCCTGGACGGCGCATTCAAATTCAGTGACATGGGCGGTTGCATGGACCGCATCTAGGCAAGTCACAGGGTCTCCCATCGCTCGCAGGCAGCGCAAGATTTGAGCTGACACGCATCGCTTCGTCCAGAGGACTCAGTGGCTTGGCGCAAGTGTAGCGCGGGCTGGGCTAGAACAAACAGGGCGGTCTTCTGCAAGCGCATCGTGGAAAGGCAGGGTAAGCAATGTCACGCGAAGAGCTAAGGCTCTAGTGGCTGCAGCACAATGCCGAACGCGAGCCATGGTGGATGCGAGGCGCAGGGCATGTCAACTAAGCGGCAAAGCAGAGCAGCTAGAGTCAAATGACCAGGGAAGTCCGGGAGACCAGGGAAATCATTTGCCCTGCGCATGAAAGGCTACCGTTGGTACTGACGGACTCCAGACGGTCGGCGAAACGCGAAGGCCGCTCTCCGTTATGGGGACGGGCGGCCAAGAGGCGGGGCGGAGGATTCCGTCCAGGATGTGTGGGGAGCAGGCTGCGATGGCATGGGAAACCTCAAGCCGGTGTTGCACCACGACCGAACGACCAAGACTTTGACGTTTGGCAGGAAATCTGGTGGGGGAGGTTCTGGGCCCACCACCGGCGATCCGTGCTTCTTTGGGACGCCACGACGCGTACCAGAGAGTGCGATGCGGGATCACGAACGAATGTTGTGCTTCTCCTAGGAAACTGTAAATGTTGCTATATGTCCTCGTCTCAACATGCCTTTAGAAAAGTATGTTCGGTCAAGATGTCCTACCCCGGTTTCAAAAGCCGACATGTCTCCGATGGGAGATCTTTGCATGCGTAGAAAGACAGATGACAGTTAATGCGTTGCTGCGACCCCACGATTCCGTACTGGAACGAACAATTGGGAATCATCAAGGCCAGAGTGTATGGAAGCGCATACGAGAAGGCTGGTGGTGTGGAACGAGCCGTCTAGCCAGACGCTACGCGGACGCCGAAAGCTGAGACTCAGCCTTCCGTGACAGCAACACGGAAGCGACATTGGCCGCGACCACGTACCAGACCGATGGAAG